GTGAATGGAGCAGACTAGTAGAAAGTTTTTGCTTTGATATTGACTCAAGGGATACCTTGATAAAAAATAAAAGCAAGAACAGATGGGGTTAAGAACTGACATAATGTACACATTAAGTAATATGGCATTAGTATAATTTAATTAAATTGCGTGTATACTAGAATCTCACAACAAAATTGTAGATTAGATGGGGAGGTCAGTTTTGAATGCCATCAGAAAAGGTTTAGTTAATACCAAAAGAATTGTATAGGTGGTCTAATTTATAAGGTGGTCATATCTTATGGTCCCTGATGATTCATTATAGTAAGACTCCAGTTTTTACCTAACAAATTTTTTTAGCATAACCTAATAAATTTTTAAGCTTTATTTTAATTCACTTATGTTCAACATATACAAACATTACCAAAGCTGATGGCCTAAAATGAGACACATTTTTGGACATAGTTAATATGGGAATTTGTTTTACTTGACTGTTTGTTACAAGGGTTTTGTTTTTCTTATTTCTCTTTTCTCTAATGGAGTTAGAGAGAAATGCATGTTAATTTTAAAAAATGTAAAAATTCAACATTTTAAAAGCATTTTATGTGTAAGGTACTTAAGCGGATAGTGAACTTTGTTGAGATCATTTTGAAAGGCAGCAGAAATAATTTCTTTCAGAAGTTGCTTTTTTCCTGGCTAAAATCTATAGTAAAGGAAAGAAGAGGCTAGCTAGCTGATTTTTGTATATATATTTGAATATTTTATATAGTGAGTCTAGTTGGGGGAATGGAATGAATGCATGAAAGAATAACCTGATAGAAGACATAAAGTTGAATTCTAAATTCTGTAGCGTACTGCAAATGTAGAATTTCAGAGGATTGGCAGTGAAGGCTAGAGTACTTGGTGAAAGTTTCATGGAGTACAAAAGACTTTACTTGAATCAGCAGCAGTCTGGGGACGTGGAGAGAAGATCCCATTGAGGGAGAATATCACAAGCAAAGGCAGAGGCAGGAATAAGAATGCCCTGCTTTTCAAACTGACCAGCCTAGAATAGGATAAAGATTAGAGGAAATCAGTATGTTGGAATCCCTACACCAAGGCTGATTGCAGCCCTTCCATAAAATACACATTGAGAGTTACTTTTAGGTCTGGGAGGCTGAAAAGATTGCCTGTGTTCAGTGTGCCTGAGGTGTATGCCTTCATCTCCTCTGTTACACTTGCTGAATCCAAGTTCAGATCTCTTTTTCTACTGCCTATAAAATTAAGCTGTAGTATGAAATTGTTGGAGAAGTGGATTGTGGTTGGATTGTTTTGGCAGAGAAATGTAATTTGATATAGAAAAATAGGAATCTTAAGTTTCTGGGCAACATAATGATATGAAAGTTATGAAAAATATGAACTGAGTAACAGTATGGATGATGAATGAACTCAAGAATGTGTGGAGAGGCTGTTAAAGTAACCTAGAGGACTTGGCCTTGAATTGTGGTAGCAGGAATTCAAATGAGCTGTGTCATAGGGAGAATTGGTTATTACATGTATAAAGATTAAAGCGAAGGAATAGAATGAGCTAAAAGTACAGAATGTATAGGGGAATGGAGTTACTGTTTTCAAGGAATTTGCAAACAGATTGGCGGATAGGATGAATTTGATTTGAAAATAGCTGGAAGTAATAGTGTAACATCCAAATGGAAATATCAGGCAGATAAGGGGGAGAGAGAGAGAGAGGTGTGAATGTGTGTGTGTGTGTGTGTGTGTGTTTTATAATTTAAAATGAATGTCGGGGCAACTAGGTGGCACAATGGATAAAGCTTGGGTCAGGAGGACCTGAGTTCAAATCTGGCCTCAGACACTTGACACTAGCTGTGTGACCTTGGGCAAGTCACTTAACCCCAGTTGCCTCACCCAAAACAAAAAACCCCCAAAAAACTAATGTCAAGGCTTTTACAATTATTGAGGTAGTAATGTTTGAGTTATGTTCTGCTAAAAAAGACAGTAAATATATTTGATATCTATAATTATGCAGTAATACCTATTCTTTTTTGATTAATTCATAATGACTTAGGCACTTTATGAGAAATTTTCCAAATTCTGTTTATAAAGTTGCTATTTGGAAATGCCAGGAGTCATGAATTGAATTTTATTTCCATATCTGCGTTGGCTTTCTGTGCCTGAACTCTGGATGTAAAATGTGGGATGATAATGTTTATAATACCAATTCAAAAATATGTTTAAAACAAATGTATGTATCCACACATATACATACATATACACTTATATGGTATATTTATACAAAATAAGCACTTTGAAGTCTTCCCTAAAAAGCAGCATATTTTTAATAGTCATTATTAAAATTGAATGGAAAAAATCTTTAATTAAAAAAACCAAACTTTTTAAAAAAAAGAATTGGTCATCTTTGTGACATTTATGGCAATGTAAAGAACATAATGAGAGGCAATATGGTGTAGTGCATAGAGAGAGAGCTTTGCAGTCAGAAGACCTGGGTTCAAATCCTGCTCTGACACATTTGTTCTGTAACCTTGGACGATTACCTTCTCCTCTGTGCCCTAGCTGACTCTCAAGACTACCAGAGATGATATGGATTTGTGCTGGTAGAGCAATCTTTCAAGCCTTTATTAAGCATCTCCTGTGTGATATGAAGAGAACTAAAACTATTCCCTTCCTTCAAGGAGCTTACATTATAACTGGGAAGATAATACATGTGCGTGTGTAGGCATGTACATGTGTATATGTAAGTACAAAATGGACAGCAGAAAATCTTTGTGAGGAAGATATTGGCAATTAAGGGGTTGGGTTGAGTGAGACCAGTACAGGTCCCTCAGAATGTGGGACTTGAGTTGAATATTGAAGGAATTTAGGAGTTCCAAGAGATAAATATGAGGAGAAAGCATCCCAGATATGGGGGGCCCACTGGTGCAAAGGTAAGAGAGAATTTCCTCACTGGGGTCTTTATACTGATGTAGATTGAATGCGAGTCCAGTTAAAGAAATTTGAGTGTTTTGCATGTTGAAGGTTTATTTAAGGTGTTTATGAAGATCCTAATTTGGGAAAAAAGTATAAACAGTGAGGATTTTTTAAGAGGAGAACCTACATTTCATTGATTATAGTTTTGCATGAGTAATATAAGGCATTACTGATCTATAATTATTTAACAAATAAAAAGCATTTCTAAATTGCTTCTCATTTACAAAATTTTTATTTTATAGAATTCTAAATTGAGGCATGTAAAGTCATTCTATCGAAAGTTCCCCTTAACCTACTTACTGTAGCATTTCCATTGTCTCTTGACATTGCTACTTTGTTAATATTCTTGCTGTGGACAACGTTTTCCTGTGGCAATTAATTTCCATCTAAAACTTAGTTTTCAGTATTATACCTTGAGCTCTTAATTGTGCTTTTATTTAGCAACCCTAGTGTTTTTCCAGGAAGTCAATCATCTTTTGTCCTTCCGCCTCTTCTCTCAAACACCTCTTTGGGTACCTAGGACAGATAGCAAGTGCTTATTTTCCTTTTTCTGCTAGTTTTCTACTCTTCTAAGCCCAGCTCAAATAGAATTTTTTTCATTGAAGCATGTATTGATTCCCTACAGCCAGAAATACTTTCTGCCTTCTCTAAAACATAACACTTTGTACTACTTTTATTGCACTTTCACATTTTACCTTGTATTTATACTTGTATTCATGTTTCTGAAACTTCTCCCCCCACCCCCATTACCTTGTATTTATTTTATAAACACTTAGGTGTATGTAATGCCTCTCCTGAGAGAATGTAATATCTCTGAGGGCAGGGATTTGGTAATTTTTGTCTTTTTGTCTTTACTGCCTCATAGTACCTGGCACATTAGTTCCTTAGTAAATGTTTGTTGATGGAGCAATCTCTCAGCTAAGGAGTGCTGAGTTCTGTGAGGGCAGGGGCTGTTTTGTTCTATAGTTCCCATAACACCTGCTACAGCTCCTGGTACATCTAAGATCCTCTGTGTATGTCTCTTAAGAGAATGAGAACCCTGTTCTCTACCAATGCAGATCAGCAACTAGTATAGTTTCAGAGTTTCCTGGAGTGTCTCAGGATGACCCAGCCAGTAATGTTAGGGGTGGAACTTGAACACAGGCCTCTCTTGCTCCAAGGCTGTGTTGAATTTATGTGTATAAAGAGAGTGTGTGTGTGTGTGTGTGTGTGTGTGTGTGTGTGTGTGTGTGTGTGTGTGTTTCAGGCTATATGAATTTTACTTCAGACTGTGTTGGCAAGTATTGATACTCAGATAATTTGACATAAAAAATAACGAATAACCCATAACAAAAGGATTGTGATTGCACATGTATGTAAACTTCATTTACTTAGGATTTGTTAATCCCAGATGAAAATGTGAATTTTGACTCTAGCATCCCCATTGCTTTTTTTTTGGGGGGGGACAGGGTGTGTGTGAGGTATGAGATCCTTCTAAGCCTTCTTTTCTATTTAATGTTGATTTGTTGGCTCTTTTATTTTTTCATGACCTAGTGTTTTTTGAATGAATAGAGGTAGATAGGTGGCACAGTGTTGGATGTTGGACCTGGCATCAGGAAAACCTGAGTTCCTATTCAATCTCAAATATAAAGTTGTGTGTCCCTGGGCCAACTGCTTAATTGCTGTTTTCTCATCTGTGAAAAAGGGATAATAATAACCCCTACTTCCCAGGGTTGTTTGGATAAAATGAGATAAAATTTGTAAAGCACTTTGCAAACCTTAAAGCACTGCAAAGTGATAGCTATTACTATTATTAATTTTTGTCCCTTTCCCATTTTTGAGTATGGAAATGATTACTCTTGTGTATATTGATATTTTATACAGTGTCTTGTCTAGTCTATTTACATGTTTTCCTAGTGAATATTAATTGATAATGTTTAAGCACGGAGAGATTTTTAAATATTTGATTTTAAGCCAGAAATTTAGACTAAGGCCTGATTTATTAAAAACTTATTGCACATAATAATTATAATTTGATTTTTTAATTTTTACTCCCTCAGGGAAGAAACCCTTTTTTCCTGGAGCCAGCAATAATTATAACAATTACTGATGGGAGCAAGTTGACTACTACCAGTGGAGTCCAGGAGGAGGTAAGCTTTGCTTACTTCATCATTCATAATACAGATGCAGTTTTAAAAAACAATTTTCCTATATAGTCAATTTTTGGTTATCTTCTAGTGGACTATATAATGTTTTCAGTTTGTGATAATCCAAAGCCATCTCTCTCCCATTGCCTGTTTGCCAAAGGTCATTGGGGGGTATGTGCAGGTGTGTGTGTGTGTGTGTGTGTGTGTGTGTGTGTGTGTGTGTGTATGTGTATATGTGTATGTGTATGTCTGTGTGTGAGAGAGAGTGAGAAAGAGAGAGGAACTGCCTTTTTTGTTTTTGTTTTTAGGCAGTCGGGGTTAAGTGACTTGCTCAGGGTCATACAACTAGTAAGTGTCAAGTGTCTGGGGCCGTATTTGAACTCAGGTCCTCCTGACTCCAAGGACAGGTGCTCTGTCCACTGTGCTTTCTAAAACCAAATGTAGCATAAACAATTTGTGTCCTAATCTTCTCTTCTCCATTAGCATGGGAAATTGAGAGTTGACTTATGCAGTTTAGTAGGATGAGCATCTTGGATCCCTTGGCATAAGATATTTATACAGAAGTAACTTGGATTTCCTTTTAATTTCAAAAAATGAATTGTGTATGGGTTTTTTTTGTGTGAAATAAGGTAAAAATTGTAGTCTTCTTAATTATATGTAGCATTTGCTTGAGAATCTTAGTTGTTAACCCTGTATGAGAGTTTGAATAAGAAGAGAAAAATTAAGTATATTAAGCATATTCAGTAATGCAGATATCTAGCTTCATAGTCACATATTACTAATGAAATTGCCATAGAGTATGGAAATATTGTATTGATTTATTAGAGAAGATTGGTAAATTTTTTTTCTTCTGGATTTACCAGTCTACAGTGAGAACAGGGAACTGAGACCATGGTTGTTTAAAGCCAAGTTAAAATTTTGTTTAGATTATAATCCAAAATTAAGGGGTCCTCTTTACACCATATGAGTAGTTTTGCTCCTTAGCCAGAATTTTGAATTATTCACCTCATAGCAGAAATTGACATGTAGCTAATTATTTATGTCAGTGTGTAGGAATAGAAGGCATATGTAAATTTAACGCACAGATAATACATTTTGCTTATCTTTCTATTTTAAACTTCTTTCTACCTATCTTTTTTTTAACCTATCTTTTTCTGATAGCTGTTAATAAGTAGTCAGATTGAGTTTGAGTTTTTTTCTTTCTTTATTGGGTTTCTTTGGGAAATTTAATGAAACATGAAATAGCCAGAAAATGGGAGAAGATCATTTTGGTGTGATGAGCATTCTTTAAACATTATTCCTTAGTTTCAGTAAATTAATAGCTCTTTCCTGATTTTGTTTTTAGCCGTTTTTGGTTGACTTTATGTTATAATTGAAAAAATTCTTCTCTTTGCTTTCTACTTTTAACTTTTGGTGAGGAGTTCCTTTCAGAGTATATATGCATATATGTGTCTGTAAGTATATATACACATGAATGTATGTGTATACATATGCATGTATGTGCATACACATATATCTATATATGTATGTGCTTTTTGCTTTTCATAAAAATATCTTTTGAGCATACAATTAGGTTTTATCTGACAAATCACTGTGTATCTCTCTGCTTAGTTTGGATTGTTTTATCATTTGGTCTTCTCTAGCCCTTTTTTCTCATGTATTTATGTATTGTACAATATTTTGATTTGTGAACTGACGTCAGATGTCTTCTACCTTATTTTGGGGAGAAATATCGGGAGAAGTCCGATTGTTGACTTAAAGTTTGAGAGCTGTTCACCTGAGAGATGGGCAGGAGGTGCCCTGTGTCAATATTATATGATGAGTTATACTGTTAGAAATAGGTGTCATTTTATACTTGTGTGGGAGAATAAACTTGATGTGTCTGAACTCTGTTTTTGCAAATATGGTTTGTTCTTAGTTCTGTTAATATGGCTATGAAAGGCTGAGTTATGTTGTTTTTGTTGCTTGATGTAGTTCTGACTTCTGTTGCCTTTTCATCATCTTTTTCCCTGGCAATATCTAAAATGATGTACTGAGTGTAGGGATACTTTGGGCTATATAAACAATAGTACTTTTGAGTCATCCAGGACAACATGCATTTTTTTCCCCCTTGATTAGGAGATTTTTACCAAAAGTCAAAAAAATCAAGAAGTGATCACGGATAATCTCATAACGCTGTGAAAGATCTACATGTAGGTGGTTCAGAGTAGCGGGATCCATAATTTCCCCAGTATAATGATGTAACAGATGTGAAAAGCTGAAACACTCTATAGATGTTATTTGTTAAGTACTAACAAATGGCTTGCTAGTCACAGTTTGGTTCTTTATACATCATGATGTAAAAACTTGTTTTGTATGTAACGTTTCATATTTCAGTTATTCTTGCCCTTTCTGTATAATAACTTAATGATTGCTAATACAGAGATCTGATGTTTTTGATTACTTAAGGTAGACTGTTAGTATTATTAGTGATATGTTTAGTAAATTCGGTGATGAAAATACAGCAATGATGCATTACTAACACTAAGCTGAGGTATTTTGTTAACTCAAGATTGGAAAATTGGTGTTTCTTTCTTATAGAATTTACCTGGTTATCACACCAGGTTTTTATTGTTATGCTATGCTTTGACAGAAATATTTGGGTTTTTTTTTTCCATCGGGATTGAGACCTCCTCCATTTTTGAGAAGCCTCTCTGGATTTAAAACTGTATTGATATTGTGGTCTAATAGAATATTCCTGTTTGTTTTTTTAAACTATGGAACCTGTGGAATTGACTTCAGTAGGTACAGTGTGATATATTTTGATTAGATGGAAAGATTATTCACTTCTGTTGACCAGAGAACTCTTGAGATAGCTGAAGTTCCTTTAGAGCTTGCTTCTTCACTGCATAGGGTTTAGATAATTATACTAAGAAACCATTTGGCTTGATTATTTCCAGGTGAGTAATGAAAAAAAGGAAAATTTGGAGTTTTTTTCAGATCACGTTTTAAAAGGCAGCCATTTGATAATCAAAAGAGAGCTGTATAATACAAATGATAATTGAGTATTTCCTGGAAAGATAAGAATTCACTGAAATACCTCCTCTTAGTGAACACTAACTGGCTGCCGTACATTGGGTTGATTCTTCCTTTGTCACATCTTTCATATCTGTTCCTGGTGCCACTACTCTCCTTAATGAGTAGCTCATCACTAGTAATTTGATGGCTCATCTCTTTGTCTCCAAGGAAGCAGCACACCATTTTCAGAATTATTCTCCTGAAACACAAACTGGTCCTTTGTTCGAGAACTTGAGGTCCTTCCTCTTTAGAGTTTGCTACGCCTGGTCTAAACCTGTGTTCCTCTTTAAGGGTCTCCATAATCTCACCACATCCTACCTATATCCAATTTCATTTTCTACTCTTCCCAACTCATCTGCTGTCAAAGAATCTTTACTGTGGCCGAAGCATGTCATATGAATCCCCACCTCAAACTTCTGTCTGTGCTGTGCCCAACCCTGTAATATTCACCTCTCTCCTTGAAGCCTTTGTAAATTTTATGCATCTTTAAGAGTTTTCATTTCAAGTTGTCATCAATAATAACAATAAAAAAAATTTAACATGGTATTTTAGGCTTTAAAATGTGTTTTATTTGATCCTTTAAAATCCTCTTACACAGGATTTAAAATTTAAAGTAAAATTTGATTAAATCTGTGGCACTGCTTTTGTTTACCTTCAAGACAGGGCATCTAGAGGAAGAATGACCATATAAAGTAAGCTCATGGGAAGCTAAATGGTTCTCGTATAAGAGCAAGCTCATATGCCTTTATCTCAAAAATTAAGGAAAAGTTTTGACTCTTTATAGAAATGTTAGACAAATTGTAGTGCTCTTAATGGGCACATATATATATATATATATATATGAAAGAGAAACATATCTATTGTAGCAAGTGAGCTGTTAAATTTAGTAAGAGACTTTAATACAATTAATTTGTGTGATTTGAGAGGAATGCATATTACCCAAAGACAAAATTATAACTGACTATTGCAACTGCTAGTTGATTCTCCATAATTTATCTTTTACCTTGAACCAGTTTTCTTTTAGTTTGTCATTATTTACAAAATTTAAAACAATAAGCCATTCATGAAAAACCATTCTTTATTGTTGGCTTAGTAAATTACATACTTGATCTGAATGATGGTCCACATGAAGCAATATTTTATTTGACAAAAGGCATGTCTTCTGTGACATTAACTGGAAAAATCATTTGAACAGGCTTGTTGCCAAGGTGGCAGAGCTGAGTGATGTCTTGTTTTGTATGCCAGATTAAAAACTTGGGATGTGTAGGATTGTTTTGTTTTAATTGGTGTTTCATTTGTCTTTATTTGATGCTCAAGTGTGCTGTATGTTTTCCTAGAACATTCATATAGCAATTTAGATATAATTATGTTTAGAATTTTTGGTGACACAAAATGTGCTGGAATAATTTCATAGTTCACTGGAAATATAGGTTTTGTACATTTTCAAACAGAATCATGTAAAACTTACATTTTGCATTTTCAGTCCTTTTACTGAGTGATTAATATAGCTCAGAAAAGATACCAACTCATACAACCAGTCAAATTACAATATGGCAGTTAACTAAAGTTTTGCTGAACTCCCTTGCAGCCAAGCATACTTTTTTTCATTGCCTGTCCTACTGATAGCAAGTCCTTTTGTATAATTGATAAATACCATTGCTGCGGAACTGCATTATAACTAAAATAATCAACCATATCCAGGAGGACATAGTTGATATTGTTCAGTAGGCAGTCCAGAAGCTCTACCAGATTATTTTCATTAGCACCTAGTGGTGAGATTCTATGATAGGTAGTTAGCATTTTTAAAAAATTCTCATAGATGGCAATAATGGTTTATCTTTGAAATGCAGAGATGCGTGTCCATAATTTGTGTGTGTGTATGTGTGTATTGATTAATAATAGGATTCCTTTTTTTAACAAACTTTTTTTTTTTACCAAAATTGTTT